AAAAAAAGTGGGAAATAATGTGAAGAAGCTGTCCTTGACAGTCTTCCTCAAAGTAAGGTTTAAAAGGAAACTTGCGGGAATATGTATGTCTGAGCACACGAAAGTCTGGGAAAGACAGCTCCGGCAGGAAGAGAGGGCGCACTCAAATGAAGGCAATTTGAGGAAAGGCTAATAAAAGGGACCCTTTGCAGAAGTTTGGGCGGGCTTTAGGGATACCACAGGGATAGCGCAGTACCCAAGCCTGGAGCAGCTGGGGCTGAGGGGGCAAGAGAAGGACATGGTGACCGGAAGCCAGAGGCCAGAGCTGCCGGACAGAAATTGTGCCCCCACAGGGAGAGAGTTCCTGACACCAATTCCCTGACCTCACTCTCCTCCTTTCACATCCTCTGCATCTCCCTGGAGCTAAAACCGGAGGGCAAAGGAGTCCACCGAGGTGGTCTATAAGGGTCTGCCTCTGGGGGCGCTGAGCAAAATGAGAGGGGGTAGCAAGTCAACCTGGAGGAGGAAAGGGCGACAGAGACTGTCTCACCAAGTGGAATGGCTTCCTACTGCATCTGGTTTTCAAACCTCATCTGTAGGGTATTTTTGTCCAAACATTGACCCAGAAAATCTCATTTTCCAGTAACAAAGACACTGATTTAGACAAAATGAGAGAAGAAAAACCACACCATCTCACAGTAATATTTATACATTCTATAGTAAATTCATAGACCAGAAGGAAATATAATTGCTCTCTAAAGTAGCTATTTATTTGATATTTCTGAATTCTTTTTTGTAACCAGGTTCAGTCACTCTGTTCATTACCAGGTTGGTGACTGATTGGCTGTTACATTCCCCATCCTTTCAACTTTAAAATTCCCCAAAAGTTGGACTCAGGCTCTGTCTGTCTGAGCAGTTGAGCCATTCTTACATTTGACATTCCTATGTTCTATGTTGTATTTCCTGAACTGTAAAAGTAACCTGGGACAATTTAGCCCCTGGAAAAGATGCACACACCAGTGGTTAAAGCCTGAAGTCAGGCTGCCCGAGCTTGAATCCTGGCTCTGGCACTTACTAGCTGTGTGACGTTGGGCAAGTCTCTTGATCATTCTGGGCCTCCGTTTCCTTCTCTGTAAAAGGGAGTCATAACTAGATACACCTCCTCAGGTTGTGGTGTGGATTAAATGAGATAACATGCCCTTGGCACGATGCTTGGCACACAGCGAGCAATCTGTAAGTGACAACTATTGTTATTCTTGTCTCTCCCTTGCTCTTTTCCCCGCCTTCCTTTCATTCCTACCCTCAACTTCGGCTTAAACTTCTCCTCCCACGGCCTCCATGAAACAGACCCTCATCTTATATGGCATGTCTCCCTCCCCTTTCCTCCTGTGTCGATTCAGATTGTGAGCACGTCCAACGCTTCCCAGACAGTCACCTTGGTGTACGTGGTGGGCAACCGGAGTTCCTTCCTCAATGGCACCGTCGCCAGCAGCCTCCTCCGCCAGCTCTCGGCTGAGCTGGTGGGGTTCTACCTCACCTACCCGCCGCTCACCATTGCCGAACGTGAGTATGTCCCCATCATTGTACAGGGACTCTGCCATTCTCCCTGGGGGCCTTTCTCTATTTTGCAACCATCCATTGTGCCAGGCTGCAGGATAACTTTTGTCATAAAATGACAACTGAAATATGTGATAAATGGGGACTGAACTGATGACAAGTTTAGTACATATTGAAAAAAAGCCCTTGCTAGACGCCTTTACTCTTCACGTATCTCTTATCTCATTTAATCCTCACAACTGCCTTATAAAGGCAGGTGCAAAATTAGCACCATTTTGCAGATGAGAAAGCTAAAGTTTCTTAGGTTTCATAAAATGCCCACTTTCACATAGCAGCTAGTGAAGCATGGAACCTGGGGTTTGAACCCAAGCAGTCTGCCTCTGAGCTTATAATACTGCGTGGTAGGGGCATCTGTCCTCATGGCAGCCTGGGTTGCTGTGGCTTCCCCCACTTCTGCCATCAACAAATATTCTGGGGCCTTCAGTCTTTGTTCTGGTTATAGAAATAATGCAACTCATTTGCAGTCAGCATTGTGACTTCACTTGATGAAGTCCCCATAGTCTTATGGCGTCATCTTCTGATGTTTCAGTTACATAATCCGCATTACCATACAGCAGGCATGGGCTCTGAGGATGATGCAGCCTACATTTTGTACCCAAACATTTACTTGGTAGCCAAAGGAACTAAATATCTGTGTTCTTAAATTTAATCGTTGGTACATTTCTCAAGGTCACTGGGCAAGTTTTTGGTTTGTTTTTTTAAAAAACACATATTAGCAAAACTGTTTCTATTTCTTTCTGTGGTTTCTTTTGATATTATAAATGAAGGAGAGGATGTGTGTGGGTGCACTTAGCACACAGTAGCCACTCGGAATTTTTTTTGAATGTTTGTTTAATAAATAGTAAACTTTTGCGAATTCCCATCTAGTAAGGATTTTATGGAAAAGATGATGTCATAAAAGATGGCATTATATCACATGGCAGCACGTGAAAAATTTATTGTCTTTCATTTTGATATGTTGATAATAACACAACTATCATTTATTGAGCACTTACTGTGTGCTAGACACTGTACTAAGCCCTTTGTGTGTATTAATTCTCATGGTCACTACCCCTTTTAAAAATTCAAACTGTTTACAAGCATTTGGCTGCTAAACTTAGTTCTTGATAGTGGAAAAATCCATTCAAGAGATTATCATTTGTAAAAATGGTAGTTATGGTTGGATAATTTTTAAAGAGAAAGCTATAGTTAAGACAGAGTCTAGCTGTGGGTCTTGATAATGAAGATGTGCCACTTAAGATGGTTTTCATGGAAAAACTGAAAGAGCAGAAATCCATAAACCCTAAAAGACTCTTCATCTGAAAGTAAGCTCTTTACTGAGTGTTTTCATTTTCTGAACAGCAAGGTAGTTGTTGCCTGTATGTAGTAGAGCTCCTAAGAATGATAAAGCAGGATTTAGCTGCTTTATATTTTGTCACCTATGTCCTTTTCCCTTAACAATATTTACATATAAAACCTGTGAAAGTAATTTTGTGTGTTTTCTATTTGGTTTAGCACTGGAATATCCCAACCTTGACATATCAGAAACAACCAGAGACTATTGGGTAATTACAGGTAATATTTTATTTTACTTCCCCTTTTACCCAATCAGATTGGTTTGTTTTATTAAAAAACTGCATGTAAAAAAATAAATAAATAAATAAAATTTAAAAAATTTAAACTGCATGTTATTCAGTGATAGGATTGGCATCCTTTTTTGTCCTGTCCTATAAGTCAAGGAGTTACTTTCACAGGACCAGGAGTGGGTGGAGAAAACTGAAATAAGAAAAGGCATCTCACTGAAGATGAATATTAGATAAACAATTCAAAATAGCAGGCTGTAAAGTCCCACCCAGTAGCCCCCTCTTTGCAGAAAGTGGACTGATCAGAAGGTACAGCATTAACCTGTGGACATCCAGGGCGTGTCCATATTATGAACGATTGCCTGTCTGTTTAAAGATAACAAGCCTTTCTGCACTGCCCTACACAAACCCAATGAAAGTCAGAGGAATGCCAGGCACGCACTTTCCTCTCTCCCCTGGCATGAGGCCCACACCCACACTAATCCTGGTGCAGCCCAGGCGTGTCCTGACAGCGAGGGCGGATGGAAGTAGAAGGGTGTTTTGGTGGCATTTTCTTCTTCTTCTTTTTTTTCTTGACATTTCCCAACTGAGCTTTATGAAACAGCAAAAAAGTTCTTGGTTGTATTTTTCAAAAGCCAAACAATAGCTCTGAAAATCAGAGAAGCAAGGATGGGAAGCAAAGAGAGAAGGCAGATGTTTATAGGAAGAAGTGACTAGCCCAGCCCTACAAGGAAGGGACAAGAGGAGGAGGGTATTTGTCTGCTAGTGGGGGCAGCATCAACAACAGGAATTTATGTTCTCACAATTCTAGAGGCTGGAGGTTCAATATCAAGGTTTTAGCAGGGTTGGTTTCTTCTGAGGTCTCTCTCCTTGGCTTACAGATGGCCATCTTTCCTCTGTGTCTTCATATGGTCTTCCCTTTGTGTGTGTCTGTGTCTTCACTTTCTCTTCTTATAAGGACACCAGTCATATTGGATTAGGGCCCATTCCTATTATCTCATTTTACCTTAACTGCCTTTTTAAAGGCCTATCTCCAAATACAGTCACATTCTGTGGTAATTGGGGTTAGGATTTCCACATCTGAATTTTGGGAGGACACCATTCAGCCCATAATAAGGAGAGAGGAAGATCCTGCAAGCCATGGAGGATGTGCCTGGGCAAGCAGGCCCATATGAAACCTCCTCCCTTGCCTCCCCATCCCCTCCATCACGTGCTGTCCCAACCAAGCAGTAGGTGGGCTGCTGCCTAAATACCAACAAAGCAGCACACAGCCAGCTGCATGAGACCTGCTCAAAAACTTTCCTAAACTGCAGAAAATGGCATTTCTTTCTCCCCTGCAGAGCCATGGATATGCAGAGATAATTTTACCTGCTAAAAAGACAAACTAAAGAAATGTGTTTAAAAAGAAAAAAAAAATCACCAGAGTTTATGCCCGAGAGAGACAATGCTAACCCAGCAACACGTTTTTGAAGCCAGCAAGTTATGTAACATTTACAAAATCATGATTCCTTCACCAGAAAAACGGCTTTTGAACTTGCAGACATTTCCTCCCCCCCTTCTATTAACTTTAGGGTTTACAGCAAATGGTGATAATACATCCACTCTTAAACGTGAGCTGTCCTAGACAGTCTCCTGTTTCATCCTTTTCCCATGTACCTGTGTCTTGCCCTGCCTCTGTTGTAGTGACATAACCTTAACAAAAAGCTCCACACATGGTCTTGTTTTCAGGATTCTCCTGGGACTTAACCCCTGCCCCATCACCTATGTAACCCTCATTTGTTATTGCTGCTATGGCTGTTGGTGATCAGATTAAACAGTGGCCTCCCTCACTGTGTTTGGGGCCTTTTGGAATCTGCTCCTGCTTGGGGAAACCGAAACCAGCCTCAGGATGAACCCTTCTTCGTTCCCTTTGGCTCATGACCATTTTCTAACCCCATGGGCAGCCAACAACAACCTTTTCCCATTATTTACAGAAGGGGTAGGAGATTGGGAACTGAGAGGTGAAGATAGCTTTGTTTATCTTGTTCAAACGGACAGCCCCTTGAATAACCACTGCCTTTTACTCCAGAAGTTCATTCCGGCACCCCATCTTCTGCTCATTGTTAACAGCCCAGAGGATTAGGAGCAACTTTCCTTTCTGTAGTTTGTATTATAAAACCCTGACATGTTTTCGCCTGTTTCCCCCCAAACTTATGTAAATATATTTTTGTATACTCTACACTTCCCCCCACCCACCCCATATGTGGGTCTCTCTTTGGTGGGAAATCATTGGCTGAGGGTGAGTCCTGCAGTCCCTCTTTACAGAGAGCCCAGGGGCTACCCTGCTGCCCATGGACCCTGCAGTCAGGCAGGACAGAGACGTTCAGAATTAATAGTGCTGCCTGACAAAGGTGAGAGCCCTTCGTAGGTTTGAAATCTGTCTTTATTTCACCCACCAGAGTCAAAATATCCCAGACCCAGAAATCACAGGTTGTCTTCTGATCTCAGCTCTGCTACATACTAACCTGGTGTGTCCTTGAACAAGTCACTCAGGCCCTCTGGGTGACACACTCCCACCTTTAGAATCAGAAGAAGGTGTGAGCTGAACCTTCAGGGTCTTTTCACCTCTGAATGTGTGCAGTTCAACCACGAATAAAACAATTTAGCTTGAGTACAGAAAGCCGAACCAGGCCTGATTGATGGAATTATAGAGCCCAGTGCAATTGTAAATAAAGAAGGAATAAGACACCAGTGATGCAATAGTCACCAAAACTGCTGGACAAAGCTCCTTTGAACACAGCTAGGGTCTTGTTCGCCTCCTCTAATCTGAGTCGGTGGAGGCTGAGGGTGGGTGTCCAGGGTCCAAGCTCTCCGATTGCTTCTGTGCCTCTTTGAGAGATGTGGGTGTGCATCACTTCCTACTCTCATCCAGGCAGGTGGAGAGGGCCAGGAGACAGAGGCCTGGCACACTTCTCAGGGGGAAGGGGAGCAGCCACAATCCTGGGACACAGTTCTGTATTTTCCATGGTGTTTCTTCCTCTGGTGAGGATGTGGCTAGTAAAGAAGGGGACACATTTGAACAAAAACCAATTATGGGCATCCTCTCAAGTGCCTTATAGCACTGTGGTTCTTCACAATGATGCAATCAGGAATTGATTATGATCCCTGTGTTTCCAGACGAGGAATCAGAGCCCAGAGGAACTAAGTGACTTGCCCAAGAACACTTAGGAAGAAGGAGCCATGATTCAAACCCAGGTCCCCGGCTCCCCCACCCCCAGCTCTTCCCCAGCTGCCTCCTAAGGACACATTCTCTTTGCAAATAGAGCCATGAGGCATGTGGGAACTGTCCAGGTGCTGAATCCGTGTAAATGTGGAAGGTGCCCACTGCTTCCTACACTCCCCCAGAGGGTTTTTCCCCTCTCAATGTTAAAAGTTGAAGTAAAATACACATAACATGCAATTTACAATTTTAACCATTTTAAGTGCACAATTCAGTGGCATTAAGTATATTCACAGTGATATATAACCGTCACTGCTATCTACTTCTAGAATTTTTTCATCACCTAGGGGCTTTGACTATCCGGTTTTTTTTATGTCTGCCCTTGAATCATTACTGGAGTTCCCATAAAGTAATCCAGGATGATGTCCCTTGATGTCCTGTGTCCCCTCTCACTCATGTCCAGTGGTCAGGAGAGGCCAACTTAAAGGTAATCCTTCAGCAGATGGTTATATCATTTTATTAGAGGGGTATCTTTGAACTGGCAAGAACATGGGCTTTCCTGTTTGGGGCCAGGGGGTAGGCTATGTCAGAGGGGAATCTGGGGGGCCTCTGGGAGACCTATCACAGTGAGACAGTGCAGGAACATTTTATCTTTGTTGGCAGGCATTCTGCTGACAAGTGAGCTGAGAGTTCCTCACAAGGGCCCTAGAAGGAGAGCTGATTTATACCCTCCATGGGGATTATTTGGTGTTTCTTGCTTCAAAGAAGCAATTTCTGAGACTCAGCTGTGGGTTTTATTTTTCTCTTGATCAGTTTAAACATTATTCTCTGTATCTCACTGTCGTCAGTTGCTTGTTCTGGCCCTGTGTAGAATGCCATGATAACAACAACACATTTTTTATATCCAAGCTATTTTCATATCTCAGTAGAAGAGTGGCATTAATGATCTTTGGCTGGACTGTGGTAGAACAAACTCAATTAAATGAAAAATCTACGTTCCCAGTCCATGTAAGTTTTGGTTTCTTTAAGATGAGAATTGTTATTAGCATTTTTTTATTTCAAGGATGGCTGTGTTTGAAGGAAGTTTTTGTGAGTTTGGGGGGAAGTGCGCTTCCCGAGAGACTTGGAGGAAGGACTGGACTTTTGGGGTTGACAGCAAAAGGCAGTCACCCCATAGTAAGTGACTGCTGCAGTCCCAGCCCTAGTGTTCATTAAAATCCTCCTCCACGCACTAACCATTGCCTGGAATTCCATCCTCAATGCCACACCTATTGATTACAGGTACCCTGATGTAGACGAAGCTCAGCAGTGGAGGAGGGATGGAAAGAGAGGAGTTTCATTTATCTTCCATGCACCTGACACTGTGCTAAGCTGCTTTATACACTGTCTTGTTTCAACCTTAGAACCCGTTAGGAATCTATTTGCTGCAATGTAGATTGTCTTATTTCCTTTATACAGAGAAGGACTTGGACTCAGAGAGGACCAGTGGTTTGCCTAAAGTTTCACAACTGGTGAAAGCCCACTCTTTCTATTATTCCTTCCTGCTTTCAAATGGGAGAGTACCTGAGAAGCCCTGGGCAGCCTTTGTGGTCGTTCTCAAAAGGACCCCACAGAGGAGGAAGGGGTGAAGACACTGAGCAGGTGTAAGAGGCCAAGTTGCAGGATGGAGCTCAGATTCCACAGCAAAGCTGTTGAAAAGGAAAAATCAAACAAGACTAGCCCTGGGTCAGGACTTTTAAATGGTAACCAGCAAAAATCCAATTAGCCATACCTGTAGCTGGGCCATATTCCCATATGGACTCTTTAACAACACATATAATCTTCAGTGAGGTTTGGATTAATTACAGCAGCATTAGACATGTCACAGCCCATGGAGGAGATAGCCCAGGCTTTGGAATCACCCAGACTTGGGTTTGAACCCTGACTTGGCTGGTTACTAGCTGTGACCTTAGACAAGTCACTTAACCTTTCACCATCTATAGCACGTGGATAGCGATCTCTAACTTCTGGGGCTGATGTAAGCATAAAGCGAGGTGAGGATGGCCAAGCCCTAACATGAGGTAGGGCCCATGGTGCTTCATGGCTGATGCAGGGCCTGTGGTAGTCGTGGTTCCTGAGTCAGCAGGGAGTCTGTCCTCTGAGTCTGTCCTCTACCTTCTGCCTCCGCAGTGCTGCAGGGTGTGGACAATTCGCTGGTGGGCCTGCACAACCAGAGCTTCGCCCGGGTCATGGAGCAGCGGTTGGCCCAGCTGTTCATGATGTCCCAGCAACAAGGCCGGCGGTTTAAACGGGCCACCACCCTGGGAAGCTATACCGTGCAGGTGGGTGTGCATGAAGCCACTGGGGTCTTCTAATAAATGTGTGGGGGGGGAATGTGCTGCCTGAGACTAAGGAATCATGCTGTGTGCACCTACACCACAAACTGACCAAGCCATTTAATCAACACTACTCTTAGGGCTTAAGGGGTCATAACATCAGAATCAGGAAGGACGGGGAGAGTTAGCGACTCCCCCAACAGTCTCACTGCTAGAGTATGAGGAAAGGAGGTCTTGGAACAAATTCTGCACACATGCAGATATTTATTCAACAAAAAGTTGTAAGTAAGCAGGCACAAACTACTCACCAACCTGTTCTGTGGGCTGGATGAAGTCCCAGCTCTCAGTGCTTCCAGGTCCTGTCACCATCACTGCTGTGAACAGCAGATGCACCAGTCAGCATTCCAGGTGCAGGATTCTGTTATAAGTTTTAACAAATAGAGGCTTCCAAGTTTATAGTGGGCAAATGACCACACAGGGATTTAGACCAGGGAGCCATAGCAGACACCAGTGGTGCTCTTCCAAAATCCCCTTACCATTTCTAGTAATACCAATGGACTAACAACAGCCACCTCTGAACTTTTGTTGAAGGGATGCTTTTGAGATGCCAGAACCCACTTCACCCACACCATGGCTGGCCAGAAGTGCTTGGGAATTAACCAGTGGTGGGGGTCTAACTAGCCCAGCTCCCTTGTCCCTTGGCTAGGAGAATTCTGAAATGTATGTTTCAGATCACTTCCAGAGCTTTCCCATGGAATTAAGCTTTAGTTACCCACTGTGGTAACCACCTTAATAAGGTACCCCATGTTACCTCCCTTCCCACCCGCGTATCATCTACTCCTTCTCCTGTCAGTTCCTTGCACCTCCCAAATAAACTATAAGCACTCAACTCTTCTGAGTCTCCTTCTAAGGCACCTAACAGAAGACAGTAGCAATTCCCAAGGTGGGGGTGCTGCGCCTCTAGATTCTTTATCTAGTTCAAGCAAGAGTGGGAGTGTCTCGAGAATCTTCTATCCAATCCACCTATCTCGAATACCACTAATTTCACCAAATGAAATTCCACCATTTCTAATGTTTGTTATGCTAATTAACAAAACTCAGATGAGCAAAGTAACAAATGGCAGATGTGTTCCTATTAGGTGCCTCTAGAGTGGGCTCCCTACTTGGAATCTAGCCCCCGGCCCCCGGGGTGTGAGCTCCTCCCTGGTCATTGACCACAACAAGGGTGTAACTTAACCCAAACACACATGCATAGTATCACACTATCTAAGAGTACATGTTTTAAAGGAAATTATAATACAAATATTACCATATTCTGTCTGCAGATCATGTTCCCAGACAGCCTTGAAAGTACAAACAACCTATCTTCTTGAACCCACTTTCCTGCCTGAGTCAGTATCGTGCCCCTGAGGGAGACGCCAGGCCTCCCATTTACAGTGGGTAAATTTGGGCCCTTGTCCTCGTGGATGTTGCTTTGGAGCTAAATGTCTTTGTGGGCTGTGCCAGCCTCATCCCGAGATAAAGTGATGGTTAACTTCATGCCAGGTTTCTGATTTCCCCTCTGCTGGTTCCACGTGAGCCCTGTAATTCACACATCTCCGAACAACAGAAAGGAAGTTGCTCAGGTGACAGAGAAATGGGATTTGCCTAGGCTGAAGGGGGAGGAGGGGACCACGCTACAATCCTGGCATTCTTAGTAAAGCTAAAAATCTAACAACATTCTACATGTTGAGAAGGGCCCAGTGAGATGTTCTTTCTCTTTTTTTCTGAGTACTCAGTGTGCTTGGCCCCTGTTAGTTGCCAGGAAAGTCTGACTGAAGCAAGTAGGGGTTTATTTCTGCAAATCCCTAATTTGCAGAGGCTGTAGATCACCTTTAACATCACCCTTGGAGAAATCTTGGTAAAAAGGATTTGCTAATAAGTGGAAATTGAAGTTAGTAGATACTTGAAAGCTCATTCACCTTCTGCCTGGTTGCACTAACACTCTCCCCACCTCCTCTCCTGTGAGAAACAGGAAAATCGTGCCCAAGTTTTCCAAGTAAAATTCACTCCACATAGTTTATATTATCCTTCCACACGGAAGCCTTTCTTTTGGGCTCAGGTAATTTAAAAAGATGAGATGCCTTCATGAATATGGAGATTTTGATATCTAGAATTTAGAGATAGTTCTCTAGTAGATGTATTTGAAAACTGAGTCCGAAGAAGAAACACATATGACCAATTAACATTTTTAAATGTTTGACTCCATTTGTCATCAAAGTAATGCAAGTTTTAACTACCATAACATGATGCCATTTTCACCTACCAAAGATTAGTAAAGTGGTACTATCCAGTGTTGATGAGGATGGAATGAAATGAGGACTTTCAAACCCAGTAAATGGGTGTGACTTACCTGGAGAGCAAGTGAGCGCTTTAGACAAGCACCCTTTAGATGGCCACAAACTTGCTCCTCAAATTCATTTCGAAGAAATAGAAATGAACACAAAGATGAAGGGTGAGAGCAGTGTTTCTCAGAGAGTGTCCAGAAATGGTCCTGTAAGGTGCCCTGGGGCAAAGTGGCTCTCTGGCCACATCAGTTTGGGTAAGGCTGCATCCTGTAGCCCTGTCTCGATGACTGGCATACCAAAGACTCTAAAGAGACCTGCAGTAAAAAAATCTCCTTAATTTTGTTCAACATATTGTATGGTTTCTAAATTGAAATGCCAGAGAGACCCTTGTTTTTAGTAATATCTACATTTTCCCAACATTTTATTATGAACACTTTCACTCACAGAAAAGTTGAAAAAATAATATAGTAAACACCCATATCTTCACCATCCAGGTTCTACAGTTAACAGTGTATATTATGTTACTGGTTTACATTTGAAAACATTATCATTTCCATGTCACAGATCAATTTGGACTGTTCTAGAACTTTATGTAAATGGAATCCTACAGTATATTTCCTTTTGTATGAAGCTTTTTTAAATTCAGTCTAGTGGGGCTTTTTTTTGTTTAAAGATTTTATTGGGGAATTGGGGGAGAGGAACAGCGTTGGGGAATTGGGGAAGGGGAACAGACAAGTTGCTGTCCTTTTGTTCTTCAGTCTAGTTGTGGAGGACGTCGCTTCACTGGCCCATGTTGGTATTATCATTGCGCTCTTCCCAGGTGAGGCAGATCGGTCGCCGGCCATTGGACAGCCACTCACAGAGGCTCATGGCAGCTCATGCCTGCTACCGGCCGCTCACACTGGCTGCCAGCCACTCATGGTAGCTCACGGCAGCCCAATGCAGCAGGGGCTGCAGCCTACCCCGTTGCCGGCGACTCATGGCAGCCCAACTTCAGGTCAAACTGTTGTTCACCATCTTAGCTGTAGAGGGCGCAGCATCACTGGCCCTCATGTGGGATCCAAACTGGGGCCCTGCTGCTCAGAGCTGGCATCCCAAGCCAACTTTTAACCAACACGCCACTCGGCCGGCCCCAGTCTAGTGTTGTTGAGATTCATCCATGATGTGTTATTCAGCAGTTTATTCCTTTTTATGGCTCAATAATATTCCCTTGTATGACTATACTACAGTTTATCCAATCTTCTGTTGAGGAACACCTGGGCTTTTTCCCATTTTTAGCTATTATAAACAAAGCTTCACTTCTTGATGCTTTTCTGTATTTTCAAATTTTCTATAGTGAATATGTGTAACTTGTACAGCTTGGAAAAGCAACAAGGGTTATTTTAGAAAAGGAACTTTGAATCTCCAGGTACTGCTTTTATCAAAATCTTTTGAATTACAGACATATACGTTCATTTTTTTTTCCTCTCTGGAAATTGCAGGAATTTGAAATTAGAAATCTTGTTTGAGAATAACCTAACATGCCCTGAATTAATGTGGAGGCCTATTTTCAAATGAGGCCAGAGTTCTCTGGAGGCTGGAAGACATCACCGTTTTCAGCGTTTTTCTTCTCCAGTCTCCAACTGTGCTTTCCAGATGTTCTTATTTTCAGAACATTTTTCTCCTCCCCGTCTCTCCCTCCGTTGATAGCAGGGCTTCTTGAGGTTTTGGTGATATGGAAGTACACTAAGGTTGATGTCTAAAACATACCTTGTGGGTCCACTTGGCCATGGAAGGCTTCAGCACTCAGGAGAGCCACTGATCGCATGGGTGATTGCAAGGTCTATGCAAGTTGCCCTGTAAACATGGCCTCTTTTTTTCTGAAAGATGGTAAAGATGCAGCGGGTGCCGGGACCCAAGGACCCAGCGGAGCTAACTTACTACACCTTGTACAACGGGAAGCCTTTGCTGGGGACTGCAGCTGCCAAGATCCTGAGCACCATTGACTCCCAAAGGATGGCCTTGACCCTGCATCATGTTGTCCTTCTGCAAGCTGACCGTAAGGGGATAGTCTTTCCATTAATTATTTTTAACACCATTAAATGTTTCCTGCAAATCAAAGCGATTTCCCAAACTCCTGCTAATGGACTGAGAGCTAAACGTATTTTTGTTCTAGAAGGTTCTTAAATCAATCAACTGTTTCCTGTGTTGTTTGAAGCAATAGGCTTTGGGTAAGGGATATGTTTTGGATATTAGAATGATGGTAATGATATCGCTTTGCTCCAAATTCTACCCATTCTTCCTCCTCAGTATATTCTAGTGAATAGCTAGAAAAATCACCATAGCCGAGATCATATTTGTCTGCTGGGGAATTAGAGATGATTTGATTCAGTAAGCAATTATAGAGTTCTACATGAACTGTGCGTGGTGTTGGAGGTCATACAGAAGTGGGCAAGACCTGGTCCTTGGCTTTAAGGAGCAAAGGGGGAGTTAATGTACGTACAAAGGCGGGGACTGCAGGAAAGTGCTACAAGGAAGCTATGTGACACAGGGGTTGACAGGGGGAGAGCTTGGTCTAAAGGGGCATCTAGAAACAGTGAACAGAGAAAGGATATTAAAAATAATAACTGCTTCTTTGAATACTGTCCCCCGGGGCAGCTACTGTGCTCATTGCATTACGTAGATTTTCTCACTTTCTCCTCTCATTGGGGCAACTTGATTCAGCTCCAAATTACAGATGAGGAAATTGAGGCTCAGAAAAGTTAACTAACTTGCTCTGTATCACAGAACTAGCACTTAGGTTGCCAAGATATGAAATTGGATCTGTCTGACTTCAAACATGTGTTCTTAACTCTATTATATGCTAAGATTTCAGCAGAGGGAAAGGAAGGGTGTATATGCCAGAAAGAGGGAGGAGCATGAGAAAAAGAATGCAAATGAAAAGTACCACATGTGCTTGAAAAACAAGGAGCTCAAATTGCCTGGAGTACAGAAGCATGAGGAGGAGTTGATGGGATTAGCGAGATGGCAGGGGAAGGAGATTGTATATGATGTGACTGGCTGTGGGGAGCTACTGAGATTTCTGAGCAGGGGAGTAGTATCATTGGAACTACCCATTATTTAGGGAGCTTAATCTGTCAGCAGTCACTGGAGGGGCACATGGGAGATATTGGGGTATGGTTGACTATTGATGGGTTACCGTAATAAAAAGGGAGAAATTGGTGATGCAGAAGAGAGAGATGAGAACTGTAGGAGTGAAGTCCTTAAGTGGATGAGGGGGTCAGACTCAGCGAGGAGCAGGGACAGCTCATCCTTTTGCACTGAGAGGGAAGACTATGAGATCTGACAGTTAGATTCACAAACTCATCCTAGACGAAGTGCTACATACCTCATTGCTGAATATCACTATGGTTGCCTTTGAAGTACTCCCCTTGGGAAGCTATGCACCGATGCCAGCACCTAGTCCACCCTTCAAAGCAATTTTGGAACTCTTTTTCTGGAATGGCCATCATAGCTGTCCTTGTATTACCCTTGATGTCCTGAATGTCATCAAAATGTCTTCCTTTCAATATTTCCTTTATCTTCGGGTAAAGAAAGAAGTCATTGGGGCCCAAATCAGGTGAGTAGGGAGCGTGTTCCAACACAGTTATCGGTTTACTGGCTAAAAACTCTCACAGACAGTGCCGTGTGAGCTGGTGCATTGTCGTGATGCAAGAGCTCCTTCAGGACCATATTTGCACACGCCTTTCTCATTCCAAGATTTTCAGTTAAGATTTTCCTAACTGTTTCTCTATCAATGTTTACTTGGTCTGCTATGCTTCTCACAGTCAGCCAACGATTTTGATGCACAATTCCACAAATTTTTGCAATGTGTTCATCAGTTCTGCTCATTACTGGCCGCCCTGACCTCTCTTCATCAGTGCCATGTTCTCTCTCTCAGAAAAACGTTTAATCCATTTGTTCACTGCTGTTTTCTACATGGCATTATCCCCATAAACTTGGACTAACGTGTCTGATTTCACTTCCATGACTTTGTAGTTTTAGAGCATTATGCCAATCGCTGTACTAGGTTTGGATGACTTCAGTTGACCTAACTTTACTATTGCCTTGACCACTGTTAAATGCATTTATTAATGTACATAAGATAAATCTATTTTCCTCCCATCTCAATAGAGGTGAAGGGATTTCACAGACAGCACCAAGAAGGACCATATCCACCAAAACAATAAAGCTGAGTAATAGCAGAACACATGTAAATATGTCATTCTTGCTAATGAAAAACAGTAGGTATATATTTAGGGTATCATGTTCTGACACACTATAAATTTTTCTCTATCAGGATAGAATAGCATAGCCCAAAAGAGCCATATTGATATTTTTCACAGCAGTTCTAAGCTTTAAAAAATGTTAATGGCATAAAACTCACATATAAATACCAAATGACTAAAAGCAGTAGCAATTAAATGTTTAATGTCAACAGAATCACATTATCTAATGAGCTGTGTTCAGAAGTTAATAATGTGATTAATCGCTAATTGATAAAAACTGGGAAAAGCTCTTTTGTACTAATAGCACTCCAGATCCAAGTGCTAGCTAATGAGAGGTGATTGTGGCTAAGGTACCAGTTGAAGTTGGGGTGGTTAAAGTCCCAGAGAGAGACGGGCTGGCTCCTCAGGTGGGCCCTTACCATGTGGCACTTACTTACCGGTGGCATCTTTATATTCCAGAGTCGGTCCTCAAGTTTGACCGTCCTGTAGCCCCCAGAGTGAGCAGGATCAGGAGAATCAACTCATACTAACCAGACTTACAAGAGGTTGTTATATAAACCAGATTGGTAGTATATTAATTTAAAATACAGACTAGAACTCCCAAGAAGATGGTACTTCTCCTTTTACCCGTCCTTTGTCCTGTAGGAAAATCTGTATGGGGAGCCTAATTGCAAAGGGAATAATGGTAGTCCATTTATATATTTATTCAACTTTTAATTGAGCGCCTACTATGTGCAAGGCCCTCTTTTAGGCCCTGCTAATGCAGCAGTGAACAAGAGACAAAACATTTCCTGACCTCTTAGAGTGTACATTCTAATGGAGGGGCAGGAGAGGGTAACAAATGATGAGAAATACATGTGAATCATTTCAGATAATAATAAATGCTTTAGAGCTTTGCCACCCCAAGTGTTGCCTGGGGGCCTGCTGCATGGACAGATGAGACTCGGAGACCTTGAGTAACTTGCCCAAGGCAAGAGCCTTTCTGACCTTAAACGCTCTTAACCATCTCATGACCTAGGCCTGGGGAGGGGGGGGATTTATCTCCGGGATGCCTCCCCCTTCCCAGTGCTCCTTGTCACGTGCTTCCCACTCGCTCTCTCCCGCAGCCGTGGTGAAAAACCCACCCAACAACCTGTGGATCATCGCTGCGGTGCTCGCGCCCATTGCCGTGGTCACGGTCATCATCATCATCATCACGGCCGTGCTCTGCCGGAAGAACAAGAACGACTTCAAGCCGGACACCGTGATGAACCTGCCTCAGAGAGCAAAGGTACCTGGTCGAAGTGGGAGGAGAGGGCCAGGAGCCCAGACTGCTGGGGCTCCGCCTGCCTTTTCTCCCTTGGCTTTTGAGGCCATGGCAAATGCCTTCAAAAACATCCAACCGAGCCCCCACTTTGATTAACTTGTGTTTGAATATTTTTTTAATTATAGTAAAATATTCATAACAAAATCTACCATTTTTAAGTGAACAATTCAGTGTTGTTCAGTATAGTTACCTTGTTGTACACTTTATTTTTATAATCAGGACACAATAGCTAATGCTTATCTAATATTCACTCTTTGCCATAAGTGCTTCTAAGTGCTTTACATGTAGCAACTCACTTAAACCTCACAGCAACCCTTTGAGGAAGGGCCCTTATTTTGCAGATGAGGAAACTGAGGCACAGAAAACTAGGAACTAAGCAGATCCAAAAGGAGCCTGAGCGGTCATCTAATCTGACATCCTCCTTTTAAAGAGAAGTGGCTCCTTCAAGATTGCACAGTTTGTTAACAGCAAAACTGATGTCAGAACCAGGTCTCTTGGGTCATAACACAGGGACACAGACCCTCAAAATTGTCCTTCTTCCTATGGCTTATCTTCAAAGACTGCCACGATGGGCAAGCTGCAGAGCCTTGGACAGCCAGCCATCAAACTCAGTTCAGTGGCTCCAATGAGGCTCGGAGCCCCTTCCACTCTCCACAGCCTCCACAAGTCTGCCCTGGCCCCCTCTGGGGCCTGGGAGGGGAATGCACCAAGGAAATTCTGAAGGCTAATTTTCTAGTCACATAGCTCCCTTCATGGTGGTCCCTGAAGGAAATATTATATAATAACCTGTGATACCCCATGTTTAAATAATGCCTTACAATTTGCCGAGCTCTTCTAGGTCTGTCACCTCATTTGCTCACCATAGCAGCCCTATAAGGTAGGTCGTAGTCAGGACAGGTTGTATTATTTTCATTTTATTGCTGAGAAACCCAAAGGAAAGTGAGACTGCAGGACTTGTCCAAAGTCACATAACTCTCAGCAGAGAAGCATCTCAGTTCCACGTCTGAGTCTTTAGGCTTTTTCTACTTTATTCACCTCCCCGAATCCTGAGCTTTGGCAGGTAGAATCCTCTTTCAGCTCTGAACTTCTGAGCTGTGTCCACCTGTGGAGGAACAACACTGTGAATGGAATTTCATATCCACTGGAATGCATGTCATGTAGATCATCCTTGCTGGGAGTCACGCATGCCTCGTTCTTTCTGGGTGATCACACCTCGCTTCCACAAAGGAAATCAAATGCATTTTACTGTTTATTAAACCGATTCACCTGTTGAGAAGCTGCAGCCTGATTAGACACCCTGTCTACTGCAGAGCCAAACCCAAAGAATGTTGGTGTTTTTTTTTTACACAAAGCCACCCGCTTCCCAGACACAGCATGATGTTGGTAATTACCCAAGCAGTGAAAAATGGAGCTGTTCCAGGAAGGGGTATTTCATTTCCATCGTAGCTTAGTTACAACCTGAGCCTTTCAGACATAGCAGTAATCACAGAAATCTAACTGCAGCCCAGTCCAGGAATGCAAAACATGTTACACAGAGGTCATAAATGCCATCTTGGTGTTATAGATTAAACCAAAACTTTATTAATTTGCCAAGATAAGTTGGCCAGCACATGATTTAAGCACACCTTCTGGTTTGAAAACTCTGAAGCTGGAACAGATTCATGTTGGTGGGTTTTCATAGCCCCCTTTTTCTGTTCCTACCAGATGCATGCTGCTTAGAGAGACACCTGACCAATGTTGCAAATCAAGCAAATTTATGTTTCATGAGATTATTAAATTCACTTGTGCTTGCTTGGTGATACTGGTTGCTATCTCCCTCAATGAGGCTAGGCTACGCACTTTGATTTCCAAAGACCTTTTATCATGGGAAACCAGCAGGGTGGAACTGCCTCTTTCTTACTGCAGTCCTTCTGCTGTTGTGACCCGGGGACACTGCAGTGTTTGCAGGCGGGGAGCCGCCTGCATCACTTCTCACAATCTGTGTGTGTGAGCAGAATTCATTTAACGTCAAGGGACGAGGCAGAATGAAAAAGTTAGCCTTCGCCACCAATCCACAGACTAGGAGGATGGCCCCCTAGTCTCTTGGGACATCACTGCATCTTTAGAACGCAGACTGCAGTGCCAGAAGACATTGCCGGGGATCTTTGCTGAGACTCAGTAATAGACTTAACATGCTAAGAAGAGGTGAGTGTGGCTTTCCTGGGAGCTGAGGCCAGGGTATGCAAGCCCGTACCCTTCTTCAGAGACAAGGTACCACTGATGGAACCCTGTTACCATTGATGTCAATTGGGCTTCTGCAGGTAGAATGTTAAGAAGATGATAAATGCAGGAGGGCCAGGCATTATGCCTTTGTCATTTCCTTTCTTCCCAGTTCACGTCCTTTTCCTCTTTTTCACGGAATTCACAGCCTCTTCCCAGTGTTTCCTTTCATATAATTGAAGAGAACATGGCTTCCTGGAGGAGGCAACCTTATGAGACACTAGTTAGGGTCATATCCAGATGCAGGATGGAGCTTGGAGGGCCTGCAGTGGTTGGTTGCCATGACCCACTGCTCAGGCAGGTCAGTCACCCCCAAAGATACCCGACTGTTTCCTTTTTTCTCAAATATTATCGGAATGACCTGCACTTAACTTCTTTCTGCCTTAATTTCCCCATCTGTGAAATGGAGATGATAGTATTCACTCTAGGTTATTGTGGGATTAAGTGAGCTATATAAATTACTTTGAGCTACACCAGCTATATAATAAATATTATATACAAGTTGGTTTTTATGGCATGTGTTTTCTTCTTAAAATATCTGGGTACCTTTGAAATTACTGGGGATTATTTTGATTTGATAATTTTACAAAACTCATTGAAGTAACCGTAGATACTTCATGGTTATGTATTAATGGGAGTGGGGGGGGGTCATAGTGTATGTCCAATGGGCAATTAATTAATCTCAGGTAATTTTCAAGTTGAAAGTTGAATGACCACTAACCCGTCAATCAGAAGAGTAAGGGTCTAGTCTTGGGTCTTTCACCACTTAGCTGTGTGACCTTGGGCAAGTCACTGAACCTCTTTGAGCTTTTGTTTTTTCACTTGTAAAAGGAAGACTATGATGTTTGCCCTGCTTACTTCATGGGGTTGTTGTGAGGATGAAATGAGGTGTCAGTGTTTTGCAGGCTCTAAGTACTGAACATGTGCTGGAATTGTTATTAACCTAATAACAATGGCCACCTTTCAAGCCTCTAATTCCTTAACGCCTCTTTCTGCTCACCCATCATCAACCCAGTCCCCTGCAGTATCCAGCAGATAACTTCAACCCAGTGTGAAGGGTGAGGAGCCAAATACAGAGAAAGTGAGGGGGAGAGGAAGAAGGCCGGAGACAGCTTGTCCTTGTCACTAGGTTCTCTTGGGAAATCTTAGCTACTGTTGGAGACTTCCAATTCCTCACTGACACACCAGGAGTCTCAGCACAGAAGAGAGGTCAAGTACCGTAGGAGATGCCCAACCAAGATGGCAGGCTGGAGACAGAAAGGAAAGGCCATGGGCAGAATGAGCAGCAGTGGTTAGGTGCTCTGGTGCTGGCTCCACAACAGACCAGCTATGTGAGCCTGGGGAAGTTGCTTAACCTCTCTAAATGTCAGTTTCTTCACCTTTAAAATGGGGACTCATAATAACACCCACTTCCTTGAACTGTAGTGAGGATGAAATGACAGGTTTATGTAATGTGTTTGGTATTGTACCAGTAATATCAAGAGAAGCTGAAACTGTGAGCTCCTTGAGGGTAGGGGGCCAGTGATTATTTACATTTATATCTCCAGCATCAAGCACAGTCCCTGGCACAAACCAGCACTCAACAACTATAGTTGGAACAAAGCTGAGTAAGACAATGGGGGCATGGGAGTATTGTGGAAAAGAGACCAACAGCAGATGAGGCTGGGCAGGTGGGTTCAGCCACAATGTGAAGGGCCTTGCATACTGTGCCAAGGAGTTTGGGTGCCGTGAAACATGGTTCATGACCTGGTGTGGTTTAAGGGAGATAACTTTGGAGGCTTGTCAAGGGTGGGCTTGGAAAGGAGTGCAATGGAAGCAACAAAACCAAGGCAGGAATCAATAAAACAGTGGACCAGGAGAGAATAGGTCAGCTTCTGAAAACATTTCAGTTGAATCTAATTGATACCCAATTGGTTGGAGGAGAAGCAGACGATGGAGTATTCTAGAAACATCGTCAAGTCATCCAAAGCTCCATTCTGTTTCATGTAGCACCAAGGTAGGTGAGGGAAATTAACAGACAAACACTATTTTACAAACATGTTCCCAGATCCTGGCATAGAATGTCAGTAGTTACCACGTGGGTTAGAGTGTGAGTGTCTCAGAGAAGAGGGAGGGGTGAGCAGCACACTTTCCAGAGTGAGTGTCCCACAGAATTGGGGGAACTGCCCATGGCAAAACTACAGGCAGCTTAAAATAGGAAGCTTTGCTGGGTTTAACAATAAAACTCCATCTGTTCTAAGACATGATAGCAAGATTTGACAGGTTGAGCCACAGTCCTAGACCATTAAATCCAGCTAGAGACTTCCTGTTATTTCTCAGCCAAATTAGCTGCTGAAGGAAGAGCTTCTGATCCTATCAAGTTCTGATAGAGCCCAAATGGGAGAGGTTGAGTTTCAGCCCTATATTTTCTTGAAGAGGATCACTGGTTTCCATGTAATATGGTCTACGATTTAGTAGGAAGGCAAACAATATTGACTAATATTGATCGATCTCTTACTATGTGCCAGGCGCTTAGCTAAATGCTGAACTTGAATTTACTTATTTAATCCACACAGCATCCCTTTAAGGGTGGTTAAATCTCTCTTTCTCTCTCTCTCTCTCTCTCTCTCTCTCTCTCTCTCTCTCTCTCTCTC